GTTATTTCCCTGGAAACTTCTTGCTGAAAAAAGTACTACTTGGAAATAGCAGCATTAGTCTTTGTCAGTCTGAGGGAAGGGCTGCAGATGAGCAGGCAGAAGCCAGATGAGAGTAATATGTAGCTGCAGCTACTTGACATTACTGACTTTTAAGAGATCCAAAAAAAGGTATGATCCCTGTAGAACAGTGGAAAAGAACAAGATGTTTCTGTAGTAACGGGATCATAAAAGAAAGAAAATTGCTTGTAAAGCATGGATCTGATTTTTGCCCCTTTTCTGAAGAACATAAGCTGCGGTTTTGCTCCCAACCTCTTCTTGTGTAAGTGTTTAATATTGCCAGGTTTTTCTTCACATCTATTTTTGCGGCAGCTTCTATATTTTGTTCTGGAATTACAGCAGTTTTCTCAGCCCAAAGAATGGAAAATTTCTGAAACAAATGGTTAACAGGGTTCAGTTGTCCTACCTGAACTTCAGTCTTCTGTGTCAGCCCAAAGTGTTGAGGTTGGCATCAGCTGAGAAGACTACTGTGTTCCTTCCTGCATGCTGGGAGTTAAGTGGATATAAGCACGTTTTTAGTGGGCTTGGTCCTAAAAACAGAAAAGGGCCTTTTATTTTTTAGATGATGATTCAGGAGTGTGATAAAGTTTACTACTTGGTAGCCTGGGGATTTGATTTTGTGTGATCCTCACAGAAATGCAAGCTGCTTTTTGTCTCTTGTCCTTTCCTTTTTGTGTTCCCCACCCTGCCCAATGGTGTGATTTGCCTTAGAGAAATAAATGGCAGCTGCTTGGTATTTCTGTTGTTTCTAGACCTCTTCTTCCTTTTCTCTTTAAAGGAAAATATTTCTTTCCTGTAAGACCCTAGAAAGGCGACCAATATTGCATGCTGCTGACAGCACAAGAGAGGGTACCTAACTGTTATATTTTTAATCATTCTACTGGATAAAATGGATGAGAAAGTCAGGAAGTTGTATTTTGCTTTATGACCTGGAGCATGATGTGGTTTAAAGGCATGTCAATTCTTTTCCATCCACTAGAACAGTTCAGTTCATTTGATGAGTTTGTAACGCTGCGATGTAATCTGGTGTACACTGGGTTGGACAGATTGCTAATAAATTGTGTTGCAGTGTTGGGTATTCCTACTGTTTTGGCTGAGACCATGAGGCTTAATGTGTTCTTGTGGGTAGCTGGAGCAACTAGCTGCACGCTGGGACCATATGGTCAGACCGGCAGAATGGGCATCAGCCAGCATTTAGGGCTGATGGAAGCCATGCTGGTAGTGTAGAGCCAGCTGTAGGGGCAGTCAGGAGAGGAACAAGAAATAAAAGGTAAGAAAATGCCACCCAACTAGCGAGGAGCAGTGGGAGCAGAAGTACGTTCCAGGTCTGGGGGGCATGATGCATATTGTAGGTTTGCTGGAGGGGTTTACTTGTTGAGGATTGGTGATGTGAGCGCGTATTTGGTCTCAGTTTGTATTTTTCTTTGTAACTGGAGTATTGGATAGAGAATGTATATTGATCAGTTATTTCCTTAGCTCTAGTTTCTCTTACATGTGAACATCTGCTCTTCAGATGTCAATTGCTGGATTGATAGTTAAACAAAATTTCTCAGTTGTGGAAGTGTCAGATCACTGAGATTGGCAGAAAGGACTGGAAATCATGACCAATATACTTTTGATCCTAGTTACTGAGGCAATAAGCATCCAACTGATACTTGCCTTTTCCTGGCAGTTACCTTTTAGGTGGAAGCACTTCTTGTATCTGTGGAGGAATCAGGGTATGAAGTACGAGGGATGCTCCGAAAGTAATGCCTCCTATTTTATTATGTTGACCCATGACACTGGAGGCAGATGGCAGTGGCATGGCAGTAGAGGATGAACCTTCCCACCAGTATCCCTCTACGTTTTGTTGCTGTGTGACAGATGGCAGCAGAGAGGCAGTCTGACAAAATGGCGCTTGGCATGGAAGCGTGTATGAAGCAAAGGTGTGTCACTGAATTCCACCATGCAGAAAACGTTTCATCCATTGGCAATCATCAACACTTGGAGACCCAACAGTGGATGTGAGCACAGTGAGGTGATGGGTGATGGAGTTCATCAGTGGTGGCAGTGGGTCACCTCTGCTGGTGCAGATTGTTACGAGTGCAGCATGAAGGCTCATGTTCGTTGCTGGCAAAAGTGCATAGCTGAAAAATTATGTATTGCAGCTGATATTTAGCTCTATTTAATAGTGTTATTGTGCTCTTTGTACCTGTTGTAGTTTCCATGGAAATAGTTAGGAATTACTTTCAGAGTGACCGATGTATCTTGTGTTCCTTGTGTGGAAATCCTGAACAATTAATAATATTAACTTTTCCAGGTGTGAGTGGCTTTTTGTATTTTTTTTCTGTTGCATAAGATAACAACAAAATAGAAGTTTGTTGTGTAAAATTAAGAGAGATGGGGAAAAAATACAGTGCATCTTTTGATCTTTCCTTGGTAAATAGGAGACTGGTTACAACATGTAAATATTTATCTTTGATGCTATACATAGTACCTTCTCCTGTAACAGATAAGGACAAAACCAAGTTAGTCATAGAGATGCACATCACTTCTAAGACACCTTTTGTTCTAAGTTCTTCATTTGGAGATCAGTGGCATTATCACGGTTGGTTTATTTTTGCTTTAACTGTATGAATGCCTTAATACTGCAGAGCAGCTTCAGAAACAACCAGCACACAGAGTTAAAGCATTCGGTGGTCTGCTGAAGGTCAAATGAAACACTTAATGAAATAACATTTCCTAAGTGGATGAGTAGCATTCTGGGCTCTCTGATCTCCTTGGTATTTGTCACTAGACAATAGCTGGCCACCCCTAAAGTAATTGCATTTAAAATATTGATGCTGGATGAAAAGCTCAGTTGAAAAACCTGTGTTACTCAAACAAGCGTACTATTTACTTAGGATGAATTATGATGAATTATGCTTCAACATTTGAAATTATGAGAAGGTTAACTACTTAGAGAATATCAATGATAGCTTGGAGATGGGACCAGTTAGTGGGAAAGATTGCTTAAGCAAAAACATCAATTTCAAACATTTTTCTCAATGTTGTTCTTTTCTCCTCTGGTATGTTCTTTGTTTCTGGAGTGCCTTACAAGGTGTGCAGCTCTCTCTGTGTGAGAATGGAGTTTCTGGGAGAAGGAATGCTGTATGAATGGCTGGGGTGAGAGCCTTGTGTGTTTGCAGCTCAACTGGATTCTTCTCTGGTGTGTGCCCAGGACTGCATCAACAGCTGCTGTTCTAGTGGTGACATGGCAAGCTTGCTCATCAGTTCTTGCTCAATGGTTGCATTATGTTGGACCCACTCCCTTGTGGGGCACACCATTGTGGAGCTGGCTCTGCTTACCAGTTCTGCTGTTAGCCCAAGAAACATTCAGGAGTGCAAGTGGCTCAGCATTCGCATAGGAGCTTCTGCTTTTATGCTTCTGTGAAAGCTCTTCTCAAGTGTTTTCCACATCTTACTTTATTTACTCTTTTTTTTTTTTTTTTAAACTATGACATCAGAGCCCCAGTTCAGTGTGTGCTGATGTTAGTGGAAAAACTGCTCACTTGATGGGCTTTGGATTACTCTTGAGTAGCTTACTGTGCCAGTGCCTCCTGTGGAAGGTGACATACCCTTCCTGTCATTACTTCTTCATCCGAATGGGTTCTACTTGGTTGCTCAAAGTGACTTAGAGGAGATCTCTCTGACGATTGCATTAATTGCTGTGTGTGCTGAGAGCAGAAGCTGCAGCTTTCTTGTAGATTCTGTTTGTCTGGAATTTTACTGACCCTGGTTGGGTTTCTGGAGTCGCTCTTTATTAAAGCCAAATTGAAACGGCGCTTTAGTAGAAGGTTGTTCAGAGGTTAAATGTTTCACTATGTTATTAGTGATGATTATAGGGGAATATGCATAAAATTAAGAAGTGCAGTGTTTGTGGGTGTTACTTGGGTGAGCATCGTGCAGTCGTTCTCCATAGGAAAGGTGGTGGAGGCACAGGGCCGGCTTTGTGCCAGCTTCAGCAAAGCTGCTCGTAACACCTCTGAAAGGAACAGATGAGTGTTTCCTGTGCATACACGTGCTGGAAACATCTGTCCAACACATTGAATTAAAGGATTTCTCTTGATGTGCTGTCTGACCCCTAATGCTGCCTAACTTCAGTACTGTTTTCCTCATGACTTCCCCCATCTTCTTTTTAAGCTGTCTGTTCGACGTACTTTTCTGTAGCTGGAGTGGTGAGAATGGACGAGGCTTTGCCTTCCACATCTGTCTTAGCAGCTGTACCACTTCCTGCTATGAATCATCTGAAGCACTTTTTTTTCCTCATTATTTTGTTTAAGGGTGAAGGCACATTTGTTTTCCTGAAGCCACAAACGAATCTCTGCACTCCGGCAGCCGAACCTTAAATGAAGGCTCTGCTGTGAAAGTGTTCGGAGGAAGGAAGTGCCTCCCTATCTCTGTAATCACAGACAAGCTCTCAGAGCAGCTCCTTTCCTTACAGGCTCAGGCTGTGGTCAGAGGAACTGCAAACTTCATCAGTTCTTGGAGGGATGCAGCAGAATGTCTCATTTGTTTGTACATTAATGTCAAAAGTGCAGTGATCTGAAGTTTTCAGAAGCTCATCTCCATAGTGCTTTCAAACTATGTTTGGGGAGGGGTGTGTAATCTTTTATCTGAGTAGCCTCAGCAATGTTTTGGATTCTCTCTTGGAGGATCTTTATGAATGCAGCTTTCATTTTCCTGGGCTCACTGATGGAACCCATTTTAGTTATAGGAGTCCAAAATAAGGCTTTTTTTTTTTTTTTTTTTTTTCCTAAGAAATGATGCTGCTCCCAGGAACATGAGTGATTGCTGTGTTCTAACTTCTCTATTTAACACAGAGAAATCCCAAATCTGCTCTTTTGGTTTTGTCTTCAACTCCCTCAGTCCCCAAAAAGTGATTGTGAAGTTGTTCAGAATTTTTTCCTTGTTAATTTTTCTAGGAAAACGTCAGATTCACCACTTAGGAAACCAGCTTCAACTCAATCAACATTGTCTGGATACTGCCTTCAATTTTTTCAAGATGGCTGTAAGCAAGCATCTAACCCGGGGGAGGAAGATGACCCACGTAATTGCTGCGTGTCTCTACCTGGTGTGCAGGACAGAAGGAACTCCTCGTATCCTTTCACAATTGTGCAATTTGAAAGTTATCACTTGGTACCCTACATAAAATGCCTATGTGGTAGGAGAAAACATTCACTGTTGAACAGAAAAAGCCATACTTTAGCAAGCTGACTGTTCCAGCTAGATCTTTTTTCTAAGTTGGAAAAGGTAAGTGTTTAGAACTGAAGTCTGTTAGTGTTGGTTTTGTGTAATGAAAGGAGTGGGATGTTTTTCCTGTGGTACACATAGAAGTTTTCCTGTTCTAAATATTTACTGGTGTTTTCTTGGATCCATCGAATTCTCTCTGCATTCCCTCAGTAACTTCTTGTTTCTCAGAATTTTCTTCTAGTGAAACTGTACTTTTCCTGTGCTTTGCTAGGGATTGTTTGTTTGCCTCTTGCACTTTTAGCATTAAAAAACAGATCTCGATTCCTCTGAATTTTCCATCGCAGTACTTGAATTTCTTTCTTCTAATGCTTGTATCTGTAATGTGGGAAGGACAATATCACCACTGTTTGAGTTTTGAGGAAAAATGCATTTGATAAACTAGGAAACTTACTTAAAGATCACGCAGGGAATCCATGTCTGAAGGTAGCATGGCACACAGGTTGCAGTTGCAAGTGAGTACTCTTACTCTACGCATTCCTATTTTTCTTTTGTACATCTTTAAAACGTTTGTAACTTATAAATATTGATGGCTATCCAAACTTACTTGTTTTAAACATGCTTTTTTTAACGTTCTGTTGCAGTTAACTGGAATTTGGAGATAGGTAGCACGAACTCAAGAGAATACAAGCAATACTTCTGTACTATTTTAACTGTCCTTTTCTGCTTTAAAGTGGTTTGTGTATGCCATCAGCGTTGTTTGATATTTTTGTGACCTCATATTGTTTGTTCACGTGCATTTTTTTATCAGCAATTAATAAATTATAAGCAATTTATTTATAGTCATTATCTGATACTTCTAAGCATAGTCTAGCCTTAATATGCAAGTCCATTTTTCCTCACTGATAATGATGGAAAGAATAATAAAAAAAGCATTTGAAATAGTATGAGCTGTTTTGAGTGATGTAAGCATGGCTTATTCTTCTAACAAAAATTCTTTGCTTGTTTGACATATCCTTCTTTAAAGTACTTCAGTATGTATCTCAGTTACGTGCAAGACATTCTGGTCTGGTTGACACTTCATAAATATCCAGATTCATTTTTCCACCTTTTTCATTAAATGGAGATCATTTCCTGTGTCTTATCTTACATATGAAATAGTAGAAGCATGGTATGAACGAGACTGCATGGATGGCCTCTGTTTTCTGTATTAATATCACAGAACTCCTCTACATACGTGGTTACTGTGCCACCTGGGATTCAGAATGTGGTAGTGCATGACTGTATGGCTCAATTCTGTTGAAGCTGATTTTCTTAAAAATCAGAAACTTCATTTTGTAACTGATGTAAAAATTGTGAGTGCGTTTGAGAGAGTGAGTTCTGGCTCTGCCTGTGTTCTGCTGGTTTGTTTTTCTTGTTTTTGTTTTTAAGCACTTAATACCAGTGTAGATTAAAAATCAGACCTTAAAATAGAGCTTCTTAACATTGAACTATAAGTTGCTTTTTCTGGTATCTTACTCTTTCATTAGAAACTTGAAAACCTGAGAGACAGGTGCATATTACTTACCTTTGAAATTAAAATATATTCAAGTCCCTGCGGATTAATTACAGTGATCATTGTTGGCGTATTGTATTTATTTTCAGCCTTGATTTGGCAGTGTGCAAATGTCCTATGGGGCAGAATTGATCCTAAAGCCTTTGAATCCAGAGAAATCAAAAGCATATGTAGAATGGCAAAGTGATGAGATGGTTTAGCAGGAATGAAGATGCACATTCCAGATAGTAAGCCTGCAATTGGACTTGGTTTTCTGGAGAATTGAGTAGAGGATGGTATGGGAAGAGAAGAAATACAATGTATGAAGCACTTACAGTATTTTAAACACTTTGAGATCTATGTAGCACTGCTAAAGAGATTTACAGTGCTTTATACATTTGTTGTCATTGTGTTGGATGTAGAACTCTTATGAAGAACTTACTTGGAAGAAGGAAAAATTATTTGAGAGGGAAAAGAAAATTCAATACTTTCATTGTCTGTTTTAGAGGGAAGAGACGAAATGAAAGAAGATGCAAAAAGCAGCATTTTCAAAACATAGAGATAATGCCTTGGTTTCAGGTGGCCCAGGTGAATCAGTGGCATGACTCAGGAATCATAGGGACAAGAGAGATTAGATGGGAACAGAATCACAGAAACACCAAGGTTGGAAAAGACCTACAAGATCATCCAGTCCAACCGTCACCCACCCATCACCAATAGTTCTCACTAAACTAGGTTCTTAGTTCTCTCTCCCTTAGTTCTCACTGAGACTAACAGGTTAGTCTTTGAGATGGAAGACAGTGCATTTCTTCAAAAAATAGTGCGGTAGAAGGAGCAAAATGTGTATGTGGCCTGGGCACGGATGGCTAGGTGTGGTTGGGCTGAAGAGGCAAAAAATGGTGGCGTGTGCTTGGCAGTGTCAGAATGAAAGGAGTGGGAAGCATTTGGAGAGGGAAAACAGGATTTAATTGTCTGCATTGAGTGCAGTTTGAGGGAATGGAATGTATTTATCTTACGTGGATATCTGCTTATTCTTCTTTTTTTGTAACGTACGTGTCGCCAGCCAGCCTCTGTGAAAATGTGAGGAGAATTCTAGCCAAGTCTGCTGCTGCATTCTGAATTATGCCTGAACACCCTCAGCCTGAAATGGCAAACAATAAGTTTGTGGTTCCTGTGTGCCATTTAATTAATACAAAAATGCAAATTATATAATACAACTAAATGTTAAGTTCCCTTTAAGTTATAGACTTCAGATTTAAAAAAAAAAAAAATTCTCAGTGACATCTTTTATTTATAATTCTTTGGAAGGCTTAATCCTTTATCTGCAACCTGAATTCATGTTACATCAGTTTATGGCTTTCATTATCTTGTTTGACACAGAAACCCACAATGCAGTAACTTTGACATAGCTTTTCATTTACGTTGTTTATGTTACTTGCCAGTGCTAATGTTCTAAAGGAAGATGGCTTATTAGCTGCCGGCAGTATTTGGGAGGAGCTTCACCCTTCTGACGAGCTACCTACAGAAACTTTATTATTCTCTTCATAAAACCTTTCCGTATTTTCAGTGTCAGAAGCAGAGCTATAATGCAAAAAGCCATCAGTACGAAGGAGATGGTGGGTTTTGAAGCACCAGGTCTGTGTGAGCTGGGTGCCTCCCATGGTCTGAGCAGCTCTGAGCACTCCCAGGCCATCTGACTGCAGCTGGCACTGCGAGCGTTCAGGGCACTGCGGCCTCCAGCTTGTAATTCATTTCTTGGAATAGCAACAGTCCTTGGTTGTTTCTCTTTAATGTTTTGAACAGCTTTTCCACCCTTACATATGTTTGAATGGAAACAAAGGGCTCTTTAGCTGGCCCTGCCGTTTCCGGGAGGGAGAAGCTGGGAAGCGCCAGGCCGGGCTGGGGGTGACTTATGGGCTGGGCTGCAGGGCTCCGGGGTCACTGGGAACAATGTGGGCTGGAGGGGGCCGTCCAGGTGCACTATCGGTTTGTTTCCATCAGGGAATGTTTCGTTCTGTTTGTGGTCCTTTTTTGCTATACGCAGCTGCGATAGAAACTGTGTGACTGTCCACGATTTTGTTTGTAATGCTTTCCAATGCTACCACCTGGGCCTTTTATCAGTAATATTTTACACGGTAAAAGTCTTTTATCTCTCTCAGCACCACCACCTTAGCCCCCCCCCTCCCCCTTTGAAGCTCTTTGGAAAATGATCCCTTAGTTGTAAACCAAATCCTATTGTATGAAACCTTAGTAAATAAAAGCTTTTCCACATGAGAAGAGTCCTTACAGAGTTCCCTTGCCAGCTATCTTGTGTAAATATCCCAGAGTTTGCCCACGGAGGTAAGTTCAGGGCAGGTTTTTCTCCCCTGGGCAGCTTTCTCAGCTCCGTGTCCACATTTTTCAGGCGGCTTCAGCAGCATTTTGTACTCAGAGAAATGGGATGAGTTCCTCCAGGTCAGTGCAGGGCAGCCAAGTGAGGCCTCTTCTCCGAGTTGTTTGTAAAAGAGCCTTCCTGCTAAATGTTGAAGCAAAACAACCTGTTAAACGTGAGCGTTGGGAGCAGAAGGAGAGGGGAGAAAGTTTGGTGCCTTGCTTTCTTGTGTGTAAAACTTGCACTGAGTCATAAAGTGCCAGGTGCTTTTCCTCCCCTGCTTCCTCTGTTCTTTTTTTTGTTTCAGGAAGGATTGTGGAGCATCTCCTCTCTGTGTGGGGCTCTACTTGGCTATTTCCTATTTGTCTGCAATACTTAGACTCTCTCGCCAAGCTGTTTGAATGTCTCCCCATTTCATGTGTTTATTTTCGTGTGACTATAAGGGAAGCCGACAGTATTTATCTTCATTTTCCACTTGCGGAACCAAAGCTAAGTGACACATTCTAAGTCACCCACAAAATCTGAGATGGAACTGATCTCCTCAGTCTTGGATTAGGCACCAGTCAGGGAACCTTTCTCACTTCTTGGACTCTGTGAGATGTTCAGCTAATTTTCTTTGGAGTGGTATCGTGTTCTGTTGGCTTCCGTACCATCTTGTGAGGCTGTGTAACCTCATGATGAAGGCCTTTGATGGATACATTCTTTGTTTCCCCACTAACACTTCAAGGTCTGCCTTTGCAAGGAAAAGGGCAAGACTTCCTTCTTCAATAGAAATGAAAAATTAGATCTCCAGCAATCTTTCGACCTCTACTAAACTTCCTGGAGCCAGCAGGCCGTAGTACACCCAATTAAAAAGTTAACTTTTGAAATTAGACTTCAATCAACAAAATCTTAGAGCTCCAGTTAGGGAAGTTAATAAAAATGGTCTATATTTCTCTTTTGGCTGTCTTTTTAGTCACTGACCTTTTAATTAAGTATGGTTGCATTCAAAACTTTTTTTTTTT